CAAAAGAAGCTGAAGCAATAGCAGAAGTATATGATAACAAGACTGAAAAATATAATATAGAGTTTATCACAAAACAACTTAAAGCAAAATTTGCTAAAACAAAATTAATCACAGAAGAAGAAGCAAGAGTACAAATAAGGATACTGCACAAAGAATAATAGCAATATGACGAAAGTATCAGTCAGTACACAGGACTCAAACTTAAAACAAGAGACAAGGTAGTTTTTTAGAAACAATGGAAAAAGAAGAAGATCTAGTTGAATATATTATATGTAGAGAAATAAAAGATATTATAGCAGAACTAAGAATAGCTAATACAATAAGAGAGGTAGAAGAGATTGAAAAGAAACAGGTTGTCAAAATTAAAGAGTTAGAAAAAAAGCAAGTTGCCAAGATAAAGTCAAAAATTGAATTTGGCTAGAACAAAAGACTTGAAGAGCAAAGGAGAAATTGACAAAAGTGGCATAACAAGATAGTTCTAAACTCATTAATACAACAATTTAATCAATTGGTTCAATTTGTCGCAGAAAACCAACACAAAGAAAAAAAAAGAGTCAAAAAAGAAAAGATAAAATTGCAAGTCCAAAAAAAAGCCAAAATAGTAGAAAGAATTTTGTGCAAGAAAGAAAAACAAGCTGCTAGCAGTACAAAAACAAAATAGAACTAGTTTGGCACAAGAGGCTAGATAAACAGAGAAAAAAAAGACAAAAGCAGCAAAACAAAATAATACTCAAGTTATTAATACAGCACTTCTCAATAACTATCAAAGTATTCGAAATAGAGCAATTTTTAGAAAAAGAAACAATTAAGATAGAGGAATTATAGTCACAATCCCAGCAAAAAGAAGCCTCGAAGCATTGTCAACAAAAAACTAATAAAGGAAAAGAAATATTGAAGCAAAAAATCAAGAGTCAAAGTAAAGAAGGCCAAATAGAAAGAAAAGCTTTGAATAAGATTACAGAAGAATTAAGACCAATAATATCAAGAATAGCCATGTTAGAAAAAAAAAAGTAGAAGATATACAAACCAAGAATATACAGAGAGATATAATAGACTGAGCAATAGAAGCTTTGTATTTGTCAAGTGAGAAAGATGCTCAGATCAATAGTAAAAATTGTAAAAAGAAGAAAAAAGACCTACTAGCAAATTGGATTCAACAGACCAAATCTTACGCAGCAGAAAATATAGTTAGAAGAGACAAAATCCAAGTTATTATAGCAGAAGGAATAACAAAAGTTATAAATCAGAGAAATAAAAAGAAGAACATACTTTTGGATATAGCAGAAAAAATATTATTAAAAGTGTTAAAAAATCGAGAAGTCTATATTGAATTACAAAAGAAGTTCTTTGAAAAGAAACTGTATCCAAAAAGAAGAAGAGAAAAAAAGATGCTCAGGTTAGCAGAAGAAAGAAAAAAAACAAAAAAAGACTTGAACAAAGTGAATTTATGACAACCACTAGAGAAGTAGAAAGAGCTCCAGAGAATACTAAAAAAAAAAAACCCTCATAAAGACCTCAAAACAGAAGAAAAGATCTAATAATGAAGCTTTGAAACAGAAGGGAAAAAACAAAGAAAAGAACCTGAAAAGACTTTTAAGAGCCAGGTCTCTGATCAGAAAAGACCAAATGAATTGAAAAAAATGAAAACAGAAGTGAAGTTACAAGAATATTCAAAAGAATATTGGCAATAACCCTTTAGGAGAAAAAGATATAGATTTGGTTATTAATAGAAAAACAAGATTAGATTACTATTATAAAAAGAAAGATAGTTTAGAAGAGAAAAATTACTAATTTAGTATAGATAAAATTTTTTTTAATTTGAAACCATTTTAGTATAGTTTCGCTAGCTAGCTTGATGCAGTTCTTTGGTATAGACAATTGCCTTAACTAGTAAGATAGACCATACTTGGGTGTCTATAGAGGAAGCTGAGTGATATCAGATCTATAACTTAGATAGTTTAGGATATAATTATATTTGCTTTGATCTGATAAAGATATCAGCAAGGCTACCAATATATTAAAAAAAAATAAATATATTAACTCTAATATTAATTAATTAAAAATCAAAAAAATTAGAGAAATTGTATAATTTTGTAAGGTGCTAAGCTTTAAATGACCTTCTTTTAATAATCTATATTATTAATAATTTATACTAAATCTAGAATATTTTATCACTATTACAAAATATAAGATTTTTGCAAAATAGTTATTAACTAAAAAAATAAATAACACTATCTTTAGGATTGGTCTATCTGTCAAATATAATTGTAAGATTAATTTCATTATTAAGAATTTATTTAATTTTAATATTTGCTTAAACAAGTTCTTGGTCTAAAAGAGTATTTAATAAAATCTAACAGCTTGGAAGAGTATAGATATTATGTAATATCTTAGTATATTTTTAAAAAAAAGGATATTTAATGAGAACAAAAGGTAAATTACAACATATGAATATTTTTAGTAATATTTTGTTAATTTGTTCTTCTTTATATAATAAAGTAAAACTATTTTCAAATTCACTATCAATATTAACATGATTTTTTAATTTTTGTTTTTTGTTTGCTATAATTAATATCAAAACAGTATTATTATCTGAATCATTATAATCATTAGTGGGATATCACTATATAATATAATTATATTATATAGTGATATCCTACTTATGTTAAATTATATAATCTAGATATCATTATATAATTTGAATACCACTATAATCTAGATAATATTATATAATCTAAATATCTCTATAATCCAAATACCGCTATATAATATAAGTACTAGTATATAATCTTAATATTATAATCTAATTACTTTTATATAATAATCTAAATAATCTAATCATTATCATATAGTTTATATATTTTTCTATTTTGGGTATCTATTTTTTGCTCTAGCTATCTATTTAAACCCTTGCTAGTATCCATATTTTACTACTATATAATCTAACTACTATCTACTATTAAATTTAACTACCACCGCATGATCTATATATCATCATTTTTTTCTTATTTCTAATCCATTTGCACGTCAAATTTTATATTGTTGGTATTGCCCTTCTTTACCTGTTTGGATGCCTGGTTCTATATTGAGGATATAAGTTGTCTATACCTCTTTTGATTCCAAGTTTTATATTATAGTTACTGCATCTCTGTACTTGTTTGGGTGCTAAATTCTATATTGAAGTGCTTATCTTTTTGCGCCTGTTTGGTTGCCTTTCTAGATACTGAAGTGGTGTAAAAAATATTATGTCGGGTGGTATAGTAAATAACTTACGTATATAAAAAGCATTCTCTTTTGAGTAAGTGTAAAGACCTCTTACTCTAAAGAGGTTTAGCTATTTTCATATCCTGTTTTTCTATTCAATAGGTTATTTGCTTTGCTTTGGGTTCCAGTTTGGGGTCTACTTTATTATTGAGGATGCGGGTCTTGATGTTTTCTTTTTTTATTGCAAAAAAAAAATTGTATCAGATGGCCCATTTGTTTGCCAAAATGAGGCTGGTATAGCACATATGAGGTGCTAGTGTTGTGCCATCCTTGGCTAGTATACCATCATGCCTTTTATGACCTGTTCGATAGTGCCGAATTGGTGATTCACTCGAGTATAACTTTTTTTCTTTCCTTTATATAATTCTGCTTGAGTGGGTCACCATCAATTCTCTTATTTTTAGCTTCTCGACCCTTTCGATCGCTGAGGTTGGTAGGATGCCAAGTTATATTTTTTTTATTTCTTTTTCCTATATATTATTCTAACTTGGTGTCCTACCAAAAGTATACTTTATTTTTTATTCTCATTTTTAGCTTCCCGACCCTTTCGATTGCCAAGGTTGGTAGGACGCAAAAGCATAATTTCTTATATATCTATATCTATATTAATTTTACCTTTGCGTCCTACCAAAATTTTACTATTTTTTCACTCTAGTTTACTTTCTCGTATAGTTAATATTTTGAAATACTTTCATATCAATCTTTTTTGAATCTTATTTTACTGATTTATCAGAGATCTCTTTTAGATACCTCTATTGATTACTTTTGGGTTCCACTATATCGATTATTTTTGGATTCTACATATTGCTAACTAAGCATATTTGCTTTGAATCATATAATTTTTTATTTAAAGATTTGGGATTTTCTATGTAAATTTATATTAGTTTCTTCTATATACTAACATGCTTCTTGCACAAAAAAAATACTGAACCTGACCTCAGTGAAATAAATGAAGCAATTAGGCTCTTCTCTGGTTTAGCTGACCTTGATTTTGAGCCTGGTTATAATAATCATATATACTTTCAATATCTGTCTAATAGTAAAGATGATATCGCTCTTCTAGATGCCCATCATTCTGAGGAAATTTTTGATAAATATATTATTCAGGTTGCAGGTAAGAGATTCACAGTAGTAAATCACCCATCCAAAGTTTATGAGTTACCTGATGCTCATGAATGCATTGACGGGAATTTGTCTCTTCGCCTCATTTTGGACATCGATGCGAGACAGTATCCTGATCCCATGAATCCTGAACTCCCTTCTTTAGATAAAAATAAAATTTCTCATGAAGATTTATTATCCAGAATCTTAATTGCCTGTGCTGATATTATATATACTGATTTAAAATATCTCATAACTTTAAATGCTTTTGCATTAGCTAGTTCGTCTAATGCTAATAAATGCAGTTGGCATATTGTATATAATTATGTCTGCTTTATTGACTATAGAGATCTTAGAGGTTTTGTAAAAAAGTCGCTGATAGGGTTGAAAAACCATATTTAGATTTTATCAATATAGAACTTTATAAATCTCGGTTCAGTCTTTAGCTCCTTGAATCGGCAAAGGAAGACAGAGTTAAAAGACCTGCTATTTCTTCAATTAAGAAAGGGTACCACGAGCTAAAGGATTATTTAGTTCAACCTAAATTTGATTCTTCTGAAATCTGGCCTCGCGCGACAATTTTGACTAAGAAGACTTACAATAATATTATTTATATATTTTCTCGTGCAATAATACTAGCTAACTTCAATTTCTATATTCGATCTAGTCACGAGGTGACCTCTTCCGGCCTCCAATCATATAGCCCGGTCTCGGATATGCCTGGAGAGGATAAAAATAGTTCTGGTTAGAAGAATAGTCAGTATTACTTTTTTCCGATGAATTCCAGTATTTTCTGACTACAAACCATATAACCGCAATCAGTAAAAAAGCAAGTATAGAATATAATACCATCGGCGATATTAGAGAGTTAATAATAACAGGAACAGTCACTGATGCTAGAGGCATTACTTGAGGTGATGGCACCACTTCTTCACCACCTAATTGCTTCGCAACCCCTTCACTCAAAATAAAGTTTTCAGAATTTGCTGGTAGACTATAAACAAATTGATTAGGTAGGGTAACTTCTTGGTTTTTTGAAACCATTTCATCCCAGGGTAATAGCTCTTGCAAAGTCTCTAATATATGTTCTCTGGCAAAACTTTTATCGAATTCTATAACTTTATCTTTAAGACCAAGCTCGTGGACGAGGGGAGGGGTCTTAGATTATCACTAATCCAACCTGGAATCTTTTGTGATAAATCAACCTCTTTGAGATCAGATGAGTTTATTTGGGCTAGCTCTTCTATCATTCCTCCTATTACATCAGAATTATGAAATGTTGGATCTGGTTTCAAGTCCTTCAACTTACCTTCCAATTCACGTACTTTAACCTCAAGAGAAAGAATTATGATCTTGTTAACAGATGAAGCTTTCTGGGCCAAAATTAGCTCTCTTTTTAATGATTTAATTGATAATTTAAGCGATTTGATTTCAGCTTCAAGCTCACATCGACTCTCAGAATGAGACTTCTGTTCAGAAGTAATTTGGGATCTAAGCCCAGTATTGACTGCATCTATCTGACTAATTTTATTTTTAATAATAGCATTGATTCGGTGAAACTTCTCTTGCTCTAAATACTCCGAAATTTTAGCTAACAACCCTTTACTAAGATCATTAATTTCGGCTTTGGATCTAAGAGCAGAATATAATTTTTTTTCGAGATCTTCTTCATATGTGCTATCCAGCCGACACCCGGCCCCTTTAGGACCCCCTCTATCTTTTATATCTTTCAGTATATGCATATTGAACATAATCTTGGCATGGTTAATTGAACATAATCTTGGCATGGTTATATAAAAAAAAAATATGTTGCATTTTTTTTTTAGAGATAGTTATCCAGAAGCGCTTTATTTTTCTATAGATACTACTAATACCTAGTAAATCAACTAATTCAGTTTTGAGAGAAGATAGTAAGACGAAAAAGACTGGAGGAAAAAAAGCCAAACCTAAGTCTGTCACTATCTTTAAACCATCTATTATCCAGAATCAGCTAATACCCGTAAGTGGATGTTCACAAAACGAACCGATCAGTTTGGAAGATTTGAATATTAGCAAAGAGAATCTGCATACATTTTATAAAAAAGAAGCTAGGTGGGATAAAAAAATTAAAGCTGAAATATGTTGTGAATTAGCTATATAAAAGATGTTTTCTGCTACATGCCTCTATAGCATCCTATTTAGTTCATCACAGTATAGTAATAATTTTTCACACAGTTCATTGAGATCCTCTTTAGACTTGAGAGTATCATATAATATTCTTTCGAGCTCCTCGTAATTTATTTTTTTTTTAATGCATCATTCTCACTTAAGTTTTGTGAGTCTTGCGAAATAAACTCTGAAGGAACAGACTTTTCACATTCAGAAGTAATGTTCATACAATTTACCTCAAGCTTATTCTTGATTTTATGCATGGTTATTGGAATGATATAATCCTTTCCATTATGAGAGAACTTTAATTTGTTTTTACCCCAATCCATAGCGCAATTGTATTTCTTTAAAAGCTGGTTAGAAAATATTAAAGTTGGCTTGTTATATCTCACAACAACAAAATCTTCATAAATGGTAAGTCCAGGAGCTAGAGTAATAGGTAAATTATGAACCACTTCAATAAATTCAATCGGAACAGTGGTGATACCACTAAGATTGTGTGTTTCAGACTTATTAATTTTAGCTTTTATATGATCAACAATATTTTCAGTCACTATAGAAAGCTCTGCTCCAGAATCAAGGGTCATAGCAGAGATTTTTAAACGCTTAATTTTACACTTCACGGTTGCAATACTTGTGAGTGGCTTCTTCTTCTTAACGAAACCAATTTCCATAGAACTATCTAAGTACTCTTCCTCTTCTGTGTCTAGTGATAAGTCTTTAGAAATCAGTAAATCTTCACTTTGGGGCTTTATTTTCTTCTGTATAGGAGATATCTGTTTTGATGTATTAGCTTTATTAGAATCAGAATTAGCATTTGGAAGAAATATTGTAGGAAAAATTAGTTTAAGTTCACTTTGGAGGATTTTACAAATAGTTTCCTCCAATGAAATTTTAGACATCCTTTTAAAGAACGATTTCTTGGAGCTAGAGTTTTATTTCACTTTTTTTTTAACTTAGCAATGTTAACAGTGATATCATCTCCAGAATCAGAAGAATCTTCTGAACTTGTATCAGAGTCAGAGCTATCACTAGAAGAAGCATTAGATGAAGTATCTGAATTAGAATCTGGATTTACAGTAGCAAGATTAACCTTACCCTTTTTAGACTTCTTGCTTCTCTTTTTCTTCTTTCGGGACCAGCGTTGTGATTTCATAGCTTTTTTCACAGCTTTATTTACAACTGCATTTATTGATAACTTACTCATATGATTAGCTAATTCTTTACCAGAGTCAACTTTACTCTTTTTTATTACTGGTTTTGGGGTAAATCAGGCTTTGGAATAGGAATGAATTCTGAAACTTCCCTAGTGATCTATTGTAAAAATCTACCAATATTTGTATCTCGTATAGTCTAGTACGTTCCTGGGGGTTGTGGTCCATAATAAGCTTTAGATAGCTATGTTGGTTGTATTTTCTGAGAAACTGATTGTGAAGAAACAGGTTGAGTTTGTGCAAGAGCTATCATAGATTTTATCAAGTTTCTAACTTCAGTTTCGGTCATATCTGAGTAATTATCCTTTCTATGAGCTTTTTTTGAAGAGATTGAATCTGAGTTTAAATGCAAGTAAGCTCCAGATAATTGTTCTGCTGTAAATCTTTCAATTTCTTCAAGTTTCGGGAGTAATTCATCTACAGGTTTTTCGATTCCCATACATCGAACTTCTATTTGATTGGCCGGCAAAAGCCTACGAAGAAATTGCAATCGAATTTGTCCTTCATCAATATTAGCGAGTCTAGCCAATTTACGCAATTTTGAATAAAAATGGCCGACTGGGTTACTCCCTTGGATAGTTGAACCAAAAGTACTTGCTGTTTCTCTGCGATAACTGTGGGATAATTGGTCTTAAACCAATATAATACCTGTCCAAATCGAATTCCAGGCACAACTACAGTATTACCTGCATTAGCATTTGGTGTATTGGGTAAATGATCTGTTGGTCTTCTATCGGCATAAGACCAATCTTCATCAAATACTGCATGAGCTGGAATTACAATATTACCAGCTTGTCCGTTTGCATGATTTAAGGCTTATGCACCAAGTTGCACTTCTATTCATCCTTGAACCAGAGCTAAAGTGCCCTGTCCAGTGTTATCTAGTAAATTTCTTAATTTTCAGTTTTTTCTTTTGATAATTCTTTCATACCAATCTTTAGTATCATCTTTAAAGCGTGTTTCAAAAAAACTATGTGCTTGAAT